GGAATGCCAGAATGTTGACACCCTGTTTTGGGAAGCATGGCTCCTCTCCTCACCTCAAGGATAAATGAATTTGGGGTTGTTGGGAGAAAACACCTCGGCATGGACATTAGCATAATTTAGGAGATACCTTCATTCAGCAATGTCAGTAGTGCAAGGCTCTTTCAAGGGCTTTGAAAAGCCACAATTCTAGCCACCTGAGTTAGCTAGAGTGGCCAGACGACTACGGTGGCGCCAAATGGTGAGTGTAGGTGACAGTGTGATGCGCGAACAAAACTGAGCCTCCTTGAGATCTCCTAGCACTACTCACAGGGACCATTGCAGGAGGACCAGAAGTGCTGCTTAAGCAGGTGGGGGCAAGAACAAGAACTTGGGGGATCACTGATGTTGATGTGCCTTATTTTAGCTACAGTGAGGCCTGGCGGCATTTGGGTTTTACACTAAATAATGAGAATCACTCTTAAGCAACAAGACACCTCCACCCAAAAATATGGTGTAGAAGGAACAGGTATTTTCATGGTGAATATAAATATGAATGAAGCCAATAGATAGCAAGCTCTTGGGAGGCAGCATAGAATGGTAGATATGAAAGCAGGCTCTATAATCAGATTGCCTTGGGTTTCTGTCATTTATTATCTATGAAACCTTAACTTTTGGGCACCTTGGGTATTTGTCTCTTCCATGAGAATAATGATAAAATTTAATTCATAGATCTATGAGAATTAGCAAGGATAACTCACGACATCCTTTGAACAGTGGCTGGCCCATATAAACCTCAAGAAGGGTTAGCAATTTGTATTATTACACACAGGGCCATCATACTAAAAACAGTATCATGGAGACTGACTCAACTCTTTTCCAGAAATCAAAGAATCAGGTGGAGGTTGAAGGCTTATGGGTCTCTGGATCTCCCCAGGACCCATGAGTCCAGGAATCAAAAGAAGACATTGGTCCTAATAGACAATTAGAGCTAACCTAGTATATATACAGCTTTTTTCTCCGCCCTATTTTTCCCCCAGGGCCAAAGGTATTGCTGCCAGGAAGTTAAATACTTCAGGTCATTAGGTTTAGAAAGTTCCTAGGCACAGCTAAAAATCTAACATCTTCCATAGGGAGAAGAGAACTTAATAATGTGAAGCTTTCACCCATCATGACATAAAATAAGAAATGTCTCGCTTCCTTTCCATTTTTTATAAAAACCATAGGAGGAACTTCCAATAACCTTAATACTGTGGTACTAGAATTTGCCTTTGCCACTCTGTCAGATCCTTCAGTCTTACCACTGAATCTCAACACATGACCCATTAGCACTTGAGACAAAACTCTCCTGCTGTCAACGACTTATGCAAAAACCGAAACAAGTTGAGCAGCCAAGAAATAAGAAGCAAGCTAAGTTCTGGCTGCATAAGGCAGGAAATTCTCCTTCTCAGAGCTGACCCCAGGGTGTTCAGGGCTCTAGGAAAAGATTTTTTGCAATGTAGGGCTCCTGTCTATATAAATAATTTGATTTAAAAATGTTTCAAAATATATGGACCCATGAGAGGTATAGTGTCTTATTCATGAAGATGGATAGAGTTATTTATGTATTGCTTATTGTCCAGTTGGCACATTGAAAGATTCTTTGTAGGGTCCAAGTACCATCTCTTCTTGTTCAAATCCAGGAACCATCCCTTCAGGCATTTTATTGTCCAATGCACTCTCCCTGGTTAATTTTATATGTCCCACCAGGAGAAAATGGTAACAGTGCTGTAATTAATCATGAGGACCTGGATCTTCAGAGCCTGTTTACATTAAACAGGATAGCTCTTCTTGCCTCTGAAGTTCCCCAATAGCATGTCTGTAATGCTGGTCACATTATTAGCCAGGATACTGTATCATTCAGCCACACTGCCTTCCAATGACTCTTTCTCAAAGGTTGGTACTCTGCTTCATCAATGTGAGCCTTCCCCAAAATATGTAGGTAAATGTGAATCAATATTCTTTTTTCTGGTCCTGTTTACTATTCAGGGTTGGATGCTATAAACATAGAACAAGGTATTTTCCAGTCTTTTCTTCTCCTGGATTCTTGAGGTAGTAATCATCGCATCCTCAGAATGGGAGCTCTTTTGATATTGACTGAACCCTTGCCTTCCACACACTAACACCGGTCAGGGGGTTAGGGGAGGGGTTCATATGTGAAGAGAGAAGCACCGTCCTACTCCTGCAAGATATGTACTTTGTACTTCCCTCTTCAGCATGGCTTAAGATAGGGAGAGCACAATGTCACTACATCAATGGCAGGTAAGAGAGGACATTGACTGGAAGGCCCATTGGTGTTCAGTCTGAAAACCATCCTTGAAGGACTACCTAACACATGACACAGAGCCTACAGCAATGGTGGTTATCACCCTGGATGCCAGAGGTTGGGGGAAGAGGAGGAGTGCAGGGAAAAAGACACCTGCCACCATGCTTGCTATCCTAAGGTGTTATAGACAAGAGGTGGCACCACAGTCAAAACACAGAGGGACACAAGCCCACACTGGTGGCTCAAGCCCAAGGATTGGTGGTAGACTATTGATAGCTCTGACCCCTGAAGTCATCTTGTGTTCAATGTGAGAGTCACCCCAAATCAGTGTGTTAGCACTATTCTGGTGGCCCAATCTTCGGTTATCCCACACTGCTTCAGCCAGCAAGAGTGATCTGCTTGCCAGATTGTCGAACTCAAATTGGGGCTCAACCACCAGACTCTGAGAGGACCCCATAGGCATGAGTCCCAGAGCTCCTCAGAATAACCTGGTTGACCTCATGTGCAAGACAGAGGGTCAGAAAGCATCTTTAAGGGGACAGTGAAGACCAGGATCCACGTGGGTCTGGGCCTGGACCAGGGATCTATCGCTTAAAGAACACTGCCCACCTTGGCAGTACCAGACCCTAAGAAGGACTTAGAATTTCAAGGAAGGCTCTCCTAAGAGTTGGGGGCTGGGATTGGGGAAGAAGTGTGAGGTAGTAGGGAGAGACTGCAGAGTTCACGCACAAATAATTATGAACAGTATAAGTGGGATATGCAAGGGGCCCAACTCAGGGCCCTGTTGTTAAGAATGGAAACGAAAGGATCAAGATAGTAAAATTAAGAGGCACCTTGTCCTAGATTGGAAAGAAAAGCCTCTTCAGTCAAAGAGTTGAAAGACTAGTGTTTGACCTCAGGCTTAGGTGAGTCATTTAAAATTCCCAAGCCTCAATTTCCCACTTAAAAGTGAGAGTTATACTTGGTAAGCTCTAAACTCTCACGCAGTTTAAATATTCCTAGTCCATGCTTTTCTTGAATGGTTCATTATAATTCATAAAAGAGTTGAACCTCAGGGAACATTTGCCATAAATTACATTTAAAATTCTTCTCCCTCCAAACCACTTGGAAGTAGAAGATTATAATCTCATGTTAGTATAGACCTCTTTGTCATGTTTATAGAATATATAGAACATCATCAACACTGGACTCTTGGCATCCTGAAAAGATTGTCATTTATCTGCAGAGATGCCCAGTAGTTGTGAAGGCACCCTGAAGAATCCAAGACAGACTTGAGCAATATTGATAGAGCTCAATATCCTTGGGGCGGAGGGGGGGCGGTAAATGGAAGAAGCTCCAGGTTGACAAATGGCAAGGAAATGAAAAGCAACTTGCAACTTCACGAGACCTGAAATCACTTTCAAAACATGATCAGTGTGTGTCATTACACAGGGTTCCATTGCAGCATGCAGTCTGTGTAATGCTTACTTCCTCATCAGTGTCATGCTTGAGGAGAGTGGATCCCTTGAAATCCGGAATATCTTGGGTAGAAGTATATCATCAGGTTTGCACAAGGCTAGGTGCTACCTCTATCTCAAGTCCCAATATTAAACTTATGGAAAATTCATTTTCTGGTATGAGCCATAAGAGTCAAAACCAAGCAAAGTAGGACATTTTTGATGGTATCTGAGTTTCTGAGAAAGGAATAGTACAGTGGTCTGATAGGTAAGATTTAAGGGTAGTCCAGCTGCTGAAACAAAAAGTAACTGACAGCTAAGCCTGATGTGTTATTTTTTTTTAGTTGTGATAAAGTACACTTATTTTTAAAACTGTATTACTAAACTGAGGATTCTACCAGGGGATAACTCAATCCTGGTGACTTTAGGGCTAATATTACCTACTTAATATGTTCCCAATTAGCTAATGTTTAACAGTGAGAGTCTCATACTGAGTCATTTACTCAAAATTTACAAAATCTTCCTGCAGTGTCTGTCTGACTCACCCAGAAGCCATGAATCGCACTAATAACAGTGGCCCAGATGCTGTAAGCCTGGTTGGAAATGCATTCTCCCCATTTTCTGCTCTCCCTGCACTGTGGTTTCCTTGGATTTACCCTTCTACCAAACAGACTTATGGGCTCACCAGGGGGGAAGAAGAGAGACACTCACACTCAAGGCTACTGAGCTCTAGCTCCTCATAGTAGACTGGTCATTAGCCAAATGGTAGCACAACCTGGCTTGGAGAATGACACCCAACTCTGTCCCTATACTCTCAGGTTGACCATCTTGATTACAATTTCTCAAATGACTACTAGCATGAGGAATTCATAAGACCACAACTATGAGGAAATAAAATAGATGCAGAGTCCAATTTTACCCTGCTTAAGAGATTCGTTTTATTAGATTGAATGAGATAAAGTAGATGTTCTTATAGGCCAAGAGCAACCACATACTGGCAATTTCACATGATTCAAGCTATACTCAGAAATCCTTCAATTCTGGATTCTCAGTCTTCTCAGCTGACTTTCTATCTTGAAGCCAGTTGGGTCCCTGCTACGTTCCTCTAGCTTACCTAACATAAACATTCACTGACACCTTCTCTGAACCAGGGACTGAGCAAATCACTGCTGAAAATAAGGGCAGAGGGAAGTCTGTCCTAGCCTTTGAGGAGCTCATAGTCTAATAAGAAAGGGAAACTTTAAAAACTTATATGATCAGTGTGGTGATAGAAATATGTCTGAAGTGTTATGGAGCATCAAGGAGCACCATACTTGGAAATGAGGAAGTTTTCATAAAAGAGTTGACATTTGGATTGTACCTTGAAGGATATGTAAGATTCCCTCAACAGCCAGTCATGATACCAAAGAGACTGAATGTTCTGGGGAAGGTCCAATAACTTGTTAGGGCTCAATGATAGGATGCATGGAGGTAAGAGGAGATTGGTGTCAGATTTTAAATATGGCCGTTTTCTTCCTTTATAGGTGTGTAAGTCACAGAAATTTTTCTTAACCAACTGAGCCACCCAGGTATCCCAAGCCACAGAAATTTTTGTAATCGGGGAAGTAACATTTCTAATCAGGGAAGTAACACAATTTTACAATATTTAGAAAAGCTTGTTTTCGTTCTATGACTAGTGAGACTAGAAAGGAAGAATCAAGCAAAATGAATAGGATGTATAGGCTTTAAAAATTATCTTTTTTTTTTTTTTAAAGATTTTATTTATTTATTTGACAGACAGAGACACAGTGAGAGAGGGAACACAAGCAGGGTGAGTGGGAGAGGGAGAAGCAGGCTTCCTGCCAAGCAGGGAGCCCGATGCGGGGCTCGATCCCAGGACCCTGGGATCATGACCTGAGCCGAAGGCAGACGCTTAACGACTGAGCCACCCAGGTGCCCCAAATATTATCTTTATTGTACTTTTCTACCTACAAAAGAAATACAGATTCACTTAAGCAATCCCAATGTTATAGAAATATACAACATAGAAATCAAATGTTTTCTGTAATACAACCTCCCAGACTCAAACCACTGTTACTATATCAATGTACTGGTGTAGATTCATTGATACTTTTATTTCAACATATAAACCACCATATTAGTATAATTTTCCCCATACCAGTAAATATAGCACTACCTCATTCTTTTTAATGGCTGTGTAATATTTTGTTGCATTAATGAACTATAATTTATTGAATCAACCTTTATTCTAGGAAATGTGAGCTCTGTTCAATTTTTCATGATTATAAACAATGCTGGGATGAACACCTTTTTACATAAGCCTTTGCAAACTTGTGTTTCTGTAGTATACATTCTTAGAAATCCTTCTAGGAACTGACATGAAAATAATAATCATTTTTCATTTTAATGATATTGCCATATTACCATCATAAACATGTATCAACTTCTTTTTTTTTTTAAAGATTTTATTTATTTATTCATGAGAGACAGAGAGAGAGAGAGAGAGGCAGAGGGAGAAGCAGGCTCCCAAGGAGCAGAGAGCCCGATGCGGGACTCGATCCCAGGACCCCGGGATCATGACCCGAGCCGAAGGCAGACGCTCAACCATCTGAGCCACCCAGGCACCCTCAACTTCTATCTCAACAGTGTATGCAGGCCCAAATTTCCCTAGGGGAAGAGAAGATTTTATAGGCACTCTGTTCTTATCAGAGAGATTGCAGAACCTCGAGACTCTTCATTCAGCTCCACGAATGTCTGTAGTTCACACATCTCTCCGGTTTCTAATAAATTAACATTAATAGTGGCTCGAAGATTTGCCCAAAAAAGTCTACATTTATGCCTATCCTTGGGCCATTCCAAGTATGCCTTCTTTTCCAGAAGAGCTTTCAGCGTAGGATACCTGGTAGGAATGCAGTAGAGTGGAATGGGTTCCAGTAAGATAAAAATTATGTAATCAGAATTTTCATGGAAGAGACTGTGGTGGGCAAAGTAGAGTTCATAATGGTACCACTCACTCTGGACAAAGCTGGGAGACAAAACAAAGATGGACTTACAGCTTTTCTCAATGCAGTTCATGATATTTTCAGTAATGCTCTTGCCAGGGTCAAAGTTTCCCTCATGAAGGCAAATCAATTTCTCTTCTTTCTCTAGATTGGGGATTAATTCATGCTTCACCCAGGTAGAATCATGTTCACTGTATGAAATAAACACATGGAACTGGACATTTCTCTTGAGTTGTTCTTGGGTTGTCTTTCTAATCCTCTGCAATGTCTGTGTCCATTGACCCAGCATCCTGAGATACCAGGGCAGATCAAAGTAAAAGCAGCAGAAGGCCACAGCCATCCCCAGAACTAGCATGATAACTGTAATGGTGACAATCAACAGAGCTGTGTTGCAAGATAACTCAGGAAGATGAACATCCTTTAACCTAGTCCCCTTTAGATTCAAAGGGTATTCACAGATGTACGAATCTGACCATCCGATCATCATGCCCTCTGAATATTTTCCAAGCTGAATGAGATCTCTTAATTCACAAGTACACCGGAATGGATTTCTTCCTGCATTCAGAGTCTTAACTTCCTGACAACTCTGAAAAAAATCCAGAGATGGGCTGAGAATTAAGTTCATTTCAATGTTCAGAATTGAGAGTTTTCTGAAATGACTGCACCCAGGAAGATCGGTTAGAAAATTAAATGCAAGATTTAGCACTTGCAAAGACTTCAGATGAATAATCTCTTTCGGGACAGTTTGAATTTTGTTATTATTCAGGTCAAGTATTTGAATACTTCTGGGCAAGCACCTGAAAACAGAATCAGCAAGTTCGTTGGATGACAGGTTCATAGTGATCAAGGTTTCTGGCCAAAAGCAATTTTCATCATTTTCATGTTGTAACAGATTCTGGCTCAGATCTAAGTGCTTCAGGGATGTGTTGTTGGCAAAGAAACTCACTAAAGAAAGTGTCTCCAATTTATTGCCCTTCAAAATGAGAGTTTTCAAATGAGGCAATTGGATAGGTTGCTTAAACAGGTCATCCGTTAAGATATTATTAGCAAAATTTAAATATTGGAATCTTGTAGGATAAACAGGAAACAACATGTGTGGCATTTGTGCATCTGATATAGTCAGGTTTTCTATATCCATTTTGGTAAAAAGCAAGTAGATCCTCTCCTGCGGAATATAAAAAATTCTGAACTGTATGTACTCCAATTTCATAGTTCTCATTACAGTATTTGAGTAATCAAATGAATTGTGGTCAAGATAAACCTTGCCTCCAAAAGTCAGATGTTGGATTTGGAAGCATTCTACTGATGTATGCCAAACAAACTGGAAGATTAGGAGAAGGTCATCCCAGAGTAAATCAACTTTGTTAAGTAATAGAACAGAGGTCTTGGAATCCTCTAAAGTAAGATTTTGTTGAGTTTCATAACTTGCAAATTGGCTTTTGCCATTTATATTTGTCATTTCTAGTATTTTTGAGGTCTTGATTCCATCACGCAAAAGAACCCAGAAATTTGTGTTCATTGGTAAAACAATGTGAAGTTTTGTTGTGTTTAAGATGGGCAGGCTACCTTCTTCATAATGAGAAAGACTTCTCAATCCTAAGAAGACAGTATTTAGATGCAAATGAGCAATTTTCTGGAAATCTGATTTTTGTATTTTTGCCCCACTTAAACCTAGGATTTCCAAATGTGACATGTTGCCAGTTTCCTCACAGATAGGTACGGTGTCAAAGTCATTGAAAGAAAGATCTAAATGTCTGAGACCTGCCAGTGAATACCAAGTTACAATCTTCAATCTGTTATAAGACAAATCTAAATATCTTAACTCTCTGTTGAATTCAAAGGTCTTGATATCCAACTCTTGGATTCTGTTATGGCATAGAATCAAAACTTTCAGTTTAGAGACAGAACGAAAATCTGAACTCTGGAGTTGAGAAAGGAGGTTGTAGGATAAATCCAGTGTGGTTGTGGTTGGGGTCAAGTCTGCAGGAATCTTTCTTAGGGACAAGTTGGAGAAATTGGTCGTTAACTCCCTTTCTTCTGGCAGCTTTGAAGCCCAGCCCTGCACTGACATAGCAATACTACAAAATATGTAAATGCTTCTGATATATTTCATTGTAATTCCAAGGATTCTATCACTGGTTCCCTTATATGAATGATGATGAGTTCAAAATCCTAGAAAGACATATAATATTAAGCATATAATATAAAGTGGTTATGTCATTTATTAAATTCTACAGGATTGATTATTTATTTGTTTGTTTGATTATTTTAAGTAGTCTCCATTCCCAGCATGGAGCCCAACGTGGGGCTTGAACTCATGACCTTGAGATCATAACCTGAGCTGAGATCAAGAACTGGACACTAAACTGAGTTTCCCAGGTCCCCAGTATAGAATATTTTTAATAACAAAATTTGACTCTATTCACCAACAGTTTGGAATAGGGTTCCAACCTGTATATTGAGTCTTTGACTTGATCTGAGAGCTTGGGTTATAGATTTCTAAGCTAGTTACTGTGCCATATCCCCACCGCTGATGCAAATCAGAATTTCCAGAAGGGAGATATATAATAGTTGGCATAAGTGCCTTTCTCCCAGTTCAACTTAGGAATTTCATTGCCAGGTCATACTCAACATTCTCCCTTCTGGGCCATTTTGATAGCCTGAGGCTTTAAGAAAATTGAAAGTAAAAATTTGTAAGGCTTTACTCTTTTAGAGAAGTTTAAGGCTCACAGCAAAATTGAGGGGAAGGTACAGAGATTTTCCATATCCCCCCACCTCCACACATGCACAGCCTCCCCCATTATCAACATGCCCCATCAGTGTGGCACATTTGTTACAATTGATGGACCTACATTGACGCATTGTCATCACTCGATGTCCGTAACTGACATTACAGTTCACACTCTTGGTGTTGGACATTCTATGAGTTGGGACAAATGTATAATGACATGCATTCATCATTATGCATACATTCACTGCCCTAAAATTCCTCTGTGCTCTGCCTATTCATCTTCCCCCTGCTCCACAACCCCTGGCAACCACTGATGTTTTTATTGTCTCCATAGTTTTGTCTTTTTCAGAACAGCATATAGCTGGAAACATACACTATGTAGCTTTTCCAGATCAGCTTCTTTCTCTTACTAATTTGCATTTAAAGTTCTTCCATGTCTTTGCATAGTTTGATAGCTCATTTCTTTTTAGAACAGAATAGTATTCCATTATCTGGATGTACCATAGTTCATTCATCCATTCACCTCCTGAAGGACATCTTGGTTGCTTCCAAGTTTTGGCAGTTATGACTGCAACAGCTATAAACATCTATGTGCAGGTTTTAAGTTCTCAATGAAGTAATTTTTTATTACCAAATACTATGGGCTCCTGAATAAATGTTAAGGAATTGTTCCTCAACTTTTATATTTGTGGACAGAGAGAGTCCTTTGAGCTAATATCTGATTTTCAACAACACTTACCCATTAACATGGCAGGTCCAAAACATAGAAATAAACAGAATGGTTCCTGTCTTTATGGCTGCATATGTCTTCAGGTTGGTGGCAAAATCAATCTGGATCACTGCCAAATAATAGCAATAATGATGAAAGCAGTTTCCATTTCTTGGGGGCTTTCTACAGTGCCAAAATATATACACCAGGCCTGCACAGGTACATGGGTGCGCGCATGCGCACGCGCGCGCGTGCACACACACACACACACACACAGCTCCTCAGAACAATGGGACAATGTGAATAGCCCGGAGAGGACTCACTACGCCATATCTTCCCACGGAGTATATCCTTTCTTCTTCCTGCTTGTCTGTAGGAGTGACAAGTCTGAGGAAAGTGAAGGTAGGTGTGTATTGGACACATGCATGGATAAGCAGGAAAACTCATCAAGCTGTTTACCTTGCTTTGGTATTTTCCCAGTGCCTGGTGTGGGAGAACATAAAGTTTAAGAGTTTATTAATTTAATATTAGACTCTAACTTCTTCACCCCACCTCCCCTACTGCCTCCTTTCTCGATAGAGTCCCAGGGGGCCTTTCCTACCAACCTTATGCCTCTTCAGTCATTTCCTCCCAACAGACAGAGGAATCTTTAAAATGAACATCAGACTCTGCCACTTCCCTACTCCAAATCCTCCACTGGTTTCTTATTTCAACCAGAGGAAAATCCCAAGTCCTTGCAAGATCTGACATCTTCAATCCGTATCTCCCAACTCTTGTCTGGTCATTCTTTACACTTTCCAAGCATGCTCTCACATCAAATCTTCGAACTTGTACTTGCTGTTCTCTTTCCAGAATACACTTTGCCCAAATGACAAGTGGCATGCTCCCTCACTCCCTTGACATCTCTGCACTATGGTTACCATATCAGAAAGACGGTTTTTGACCACCCTCTACAAAATACCACTCCCTAATTGCTCTCTATTCTCCTTATCTTAAAGTTATTTTTCTTTCTAGCCCTTCTCACCACCTAACATTTTGTTCGTAATCTCTCTTTTCTTATCCCCCTACTAGAATGTAAGCTGTGTAGGAAGAGAAGTTCTATCTGTTCCATTCACTGCTATAGTCCCAGTGCCCAGAAAAGTTCCTGGCAGCATAGGTACTTAATACATGTCTTGAATAATGAATATTGTGAAAATCTTAATTCTTCAATTGTCTCCATTCTGTGTCCAATCAACAACTTGAAGTCTGACTCTTCTCTCAAAGTCCTCAGCATCCATGAGTTTCCTCATCTGTAAAATGCAGGTAATAGTACTGTAATAGTACTCTCCTCACAGAGTGTTGGGATAAATAAATGAGATAACAAATACATAGACATACTATGTCGGTAGACATAGACAAATAATGAGATAGCAAAAAGACATAGACATGGAGATATGGATTGATAGGGTGAGGGGACAAAACAGGCAGAACTCAGACAAAAGGACACCTGGACTATAACCTCACGCTCATCTGGATTTTTCTTTCTCTAGAACCTGCCCAAATTTGTCATTATTGTTGTTGAGGAAATTCTAGAAAATGTAGGTATTTCCCAAAATAATTTAAAAATGCAAATACTTTATAAAACTGTTCTGTAGAATATAGGAAAATGGACACAGAAATGCTCAACCATCTTGTGCCATGACTATGAAGAGAAAACTTTGATTATGATATTCCTTGTTTATTGTGTGCTCAGTGGAAGGGGCCACAAAAGGCACCAGGTGGGGGATGGGATTGAGAAGATGGTAGCCTGGAACTGGCCTGGAGTTTTCACCTTTCCACTGAAAATATTCCTCCAATCTATCCCAGGTAGTCTTTTCTTGGTCATCTCCTTTTTATGTAACCCTTAATAAAGCATCCAATGATCAATGTAAGAACAAATATGAACATAATAAGACAGCTTCTATGATGCAACTTTATGTTCATGATAATTTTCCAGATTTTAAAAATATAGCAAAATAAATTTGTTACCAGTACCCTAATAGTAATTCATTACCCACATTTAAGATGGCCTGAGTAACTTGTTCTGGGTCATGAATCTATATATTTATATCTATTCAACAAGTCTGATAGCATCTCCAAGTTGACTCTATCATGCAAATGAGGCAGTGGCCCCTTGATGTCTTTCTAGGTAACAATAACTAGCATTCACTGAGCTAAGTAATACTAACTTCATATAGCTTGATCCTTGCAGCAACTGCCTTACAGGGTCAGTGCTATCACTGTTCACCTTCTACAGGTATGGAAGGTGGTGCTTAGAGAGGTCATATAACTGCTGCAGAGTCACAGAGTTAACATACCAGTGCCTGGTGTCTTAGTGACTCTGCTACCTTGTCTCTCTGGGATGAGTCAAGGTAAATTTGTTTTCAAATATGTTATAATACCTTATCACAATGAAATTACATCTCACTAAGTCATACTGATTCTTTAAAGTTTCCCATTATACAGTCCAAGGAACCTAACGAGTAAGTCTTCAAATGGCCACCCAATTTAGGTTTTATATCAGTTACTTACAAGGACTGACATGGATTAAGCCATTATGTTGAGCCCTATCTTGCTGGAGCCACTGTATTTTGTTACAGCAGCCAGCCTATGTCCTAACTATGTACTGTCACACTTAAAATAAAACCCAAACTCTCGATACTGGTTTATAACACCCTCCATGAGCTGTTCTTGCTTCTTTCTGGGATCTCACTTCATACCACACCTGTTCTGACCTTAGCGCCCTGCACTAGCTTGTCCCCCTGCTTGGGATGCTCTTTCCCCAATCCTTGCTAGGCTGGATTGTCTTGTCATTTAGATCTTGGCTTACAGATTATTTCCTCTAAGAGACCTGACTTGACCACCTAATCTAAAGTGGCCAACTTGTGGGGTGCCTGGGTGGCTCAGTCAATTAGGCATCTGCCTTTGGCTCAGGTCATGATCTCAGGGTCCTGGGATCGAGCCCTGTGTCGGGCTCCCTGCTCAGCAGGGAGTCTGCTTCTCCCTCTCCCTCTGCCCCTCCCTCCCCCTCCCACTCATGTGTGCTCTCTCTCAAATAAATAAAATCTTTAAAAAAAAAAAAAAGTGGCCAACTCGCTATTAGTTCACATCACCTTATTTTATGTCTCTTCAAAACATACTGCTATCTGAAACCTTTGTTCATTCATTTATTTATTGACAAAAGTGTTTTTTGACATTATCATTTCACAGAGTACTTCAAATTGTAGCTCCTAAGTTTGGGGGGTATGGCCCTTGAAAAATGCAGCAGAATCTAACCCAGTTGCTACCTCTGGAATCCCCTGAAATGAGGTGTCATAGCTTTCATATTTTACTGACTTCTTCTCCCTGCCCAATACCACAACCTCATCTGTAACTTATTCTAAAGAAGGGAGAGGAACTTACTCTTTTTGAACTTCTCTAAATATAATAAAATTAAAAAGTCCTATCAGTCAATTCATGTACACTATGATATTTCATTTCAACATTTTAAAAAGTAGGGCATAATTTTTTTTTATGAAAGATGCATTCAATATGTATTATATATTGTCCTATTCCTACTACTATTACTACTATGCTGAGAGCAGGTGAAAAACAGAGAATGACTTTCTTTAATAGCTTATGATTTAAAAGTCCAAATCAAAAGACACTATGAAATGACTATTGGTGGTTTAGCAAAGAATACTTAATCATATTTTTCCCAGTGATGCAAAAAAGTGGAGAAGGGGTTAAAACCTCAGAGCCTGTTGAATGATCTTTGCAACAAAAGAAAGAGCAAGAATGACATTTTTGAGTGCGTCCTTTGTGGCTGGCATAGAGCTAAATGCTTTCATATGCTATCTTGTCCAATCCCTTCAAAAACTCAACAAAATGGTGACATTTTTATCCCCTATGTCACAAATGGAGGAGCTAAAACTCAGAGGTTAAGTAACTCACCCAAGGTAACCCAGTGAATAAAGGATAGAGTATGGATTTGAATCCAGACCTATCTACTCCCTTCCAGAACCCGAACTGAAGGCATTTCAAAACCTGAAATTAAGGGCGCCTGGGTGGCTCAGTTGGTTAAGCGACTGCCTTCGGCTCAGGTCATGATCCTGGAGTCCCAGGATCGAGTCCCATATCGGGCTCCCTGCTCAGAGGGGAAGTCTGCCTTTCCCTCTCCATCTACCTCTCCCCCTGCTCATGCTCTCTCTCTCCCTCTCAAATAAATTTTTTTTTTTTTTAAAGAGTACACTGGGGGGCGCCTGGGTGGCTCAGTCGGTTAAGCGACTGCCTTCGGCTCAGGTCATGACCCTGGAGTCCCGGGATCGAGTCCCGCATCGGGCTCCCTGCTCGGCGGGGAGCCTGCTTCTCCCTCTGACCCTCCCCCCTCTCATGTGCTCTCTGTCTCTCTCATTCTCTCTGTCTCAGATAAATAAATAAAATCTTTAAAAAAAAAAAAACACCTGAAATTAAGTCGTTTGGGATGCGATTACCAACGTTGATTCCACCATCAGGGCTAGCTGTCATGGTGGCTTCTTCCACCCTTCCGACCCCACGTGCTTCTCTGTAAAGTGGCAAGCAGCTGCTAGTGGACGCTCTGCTAGGTGTCATAAAGCTCAAGAGACTTTGCCTTCATGCCTTCCTAAGTGACGATTTCACAAGAATTGAAACAAAACTTAGAAAGGACACAGAACTCTAATTCATAGCTCAGCATAGGTGGTCTGTGAGAAAGCGCTCCTAGGAATCAAATGCCCTGGTGCTATTAATCATTCTGTCCTCTAGAGCAGCCACCTCGCCATCTTTGGGCACTTTGGGCTTCTCCAGGCAACTGAACAAGATCTACATTGCACAAAATCCATCAGATGTGCCCCATGTACATGCAGAACTTTTAAGCTAGTAAAGGAGCCACAACGATGCTTTAAACAGCCAAGCAGCAGATGTTATTAACATGCAGGACAGGAAGAATAAAAGCTGGAGAAACCTCCCCACCATGATGGGAGCATCCATTCTGGGTAGAAGGACTGACCAGGTTTAATCAGCAACCAGTGAAAGGAAACCCAAACCTCAAGCGCCTGCAAGACAGTTTCTTAGATCAGTAGCCCCAAGGTCACTCATTAATCATTCATCTTGAGATTAATATAGGCAAAATAATAAATACTAAAAATCTGAGTAAGGCTACTTTCCTCCCAGGTACAGGAGTTCAGATGATTTCTTCTTTAAAAAAGACCCATTCAACCCTTGTTCCTTTCTCATGAGTATTAGAGCAAAGAAGGCTAAAGTTCTTACCCCCAGGCTTCCAGGGGCTCCAGCGGAGCTGCAGGTGTGGATGGTTCACTGACAGGGCTAGACTGGCAGCAGGGGCACTGGAATCAAGCTTTTCAGTGAAGCTTAAGCTCCTTGCCCTCTACTGCAGGCTAGTGGCATTACACGTTGCCTAAATTCATTACAATCTTCAAGCCACTTTTTTAAAAAATGACAGTAAAATACACATACATAATATCTACCATTTTTAAGTGTCGTGCCATGAAGCCCATTCACGTGGTTGTGCAACCATCACACTACCCATCTGCAGATCTTTTCATCTTCCCAAACGGAAGCTCTTGACCGATTAAACAACAATTCCCCAACTCCCCCTCCTCTTAGCCCCTGGCGTCCACTTTCTGTCTACTCTCTGTCTCTGTAAGTTTGACTACCGTAGGCACCTCATAGGAGTGGAATCGTGTAATGTTCGTCCTTTTGTGATGGGCTTCATTCATTTAGCACACAATGTTTTTAAGGTTCTTCCATGTCGTAGTGTATTTCAGAATTTCCTTCTTTTTTCTCCTCTCTTCTAATAATTGAGTCACCTCAAAACTCACTGGCAATGCTAGAAGCTAGAAGATGCTATGCTCATCTTCTCAGACCACCCCCCTCAAGTGTGGCCACAGTTGTATGACTACCTGGTGTAACTGTCATCTTTAAAGGGTTCCCCAATTAAACTTGTTGACTCCTTATCTAACCTTTTAAGAGGGCACTTCTTGGGGCACCTGGGTGGCTCAGTCAATTAAGCACCTGACTCTTGGTTTCAGCTCAGGTCATAATCTCAGGGTCGAGAGATTGAGCCCCGCTGCAGGCTCCACACTCAGCAAGGAGTCTGCTTAAGATTCTTTCTCTCCCTCTCCCTCTGCCCTTCCCCCTGGTCACGCTCTCTCTCTCCCTCAAATAAATGAATAAATCTTTAAAGAAAAAAAAAAAAGGAGGACACTTCCCTAGAGCTTCTTGGGACTGCATTCCCTTGGAGTGGCAAGGTATAGACTATTCCAGTCTGTTCTCTGAAATCTCATCTCCTTCAATGAGAGTTCTTACGGCCCCAGTCACCTTTTCTGGTCTAGTAATAACCAAAACAAACAAAAAGGGTTTCTAATACCTTCCTTGAGAGCAGGTTAGGTCCATGCATATCTCATTTCACCTTTCATATTGGAATAGTCCAGCCTCCCCAATCAAAACCTGTTTCTCAGGGCACCTGGGTGGCTCAGTTGGTTAAAAGTCCAACTCTTGATTTGGCTCAGGTCATGATCTCAGGCCACGGAGGCTGCTTAAAAAAAAAGACTTTCTCAGGGAAATCCTTCTCTCTATATGGCAGTGGTGGTAAGGCCCAGTGCCAAACCCTCCATTATCATCCTGGTTCCTTTATTTATCTTTCTTTCTCTAACTGCTCTCATTCTGGCTTCAAGATCAAAGTTTTGTTAAAGATAAAATTATTCATAACTCTTGTCAAAGAATGGTAAGGGGGTGGCTCAGTTATGATCTCAGGATTGTGGGATCGAGCCCTGAATTGGCGTCGGGCTCCGCACTTAGCACAGTCTTTGTCCCTCCCCCTGCCCTCACTCATGCACGTGCTTGTACACACACACTCTCTCTCTCTCTCAAATAAATAAATAAAAATAAAATCTTAAAAAAAAAAAGAATGGCAAGGCAGGACTTTATTCTTTCATGTTGTGGTATGTATTAGAATTTCCTTCTTTTTTCAGGCTGAATAATAATTTATTGTGTGTATATATATATGCTATATTTTGTTTATCCATTCATCCATCAGTGGATATTTGGGTTGTTTTCACCGTTTGGCTCTTGTGAATAATGTTGCTATGAACATGGGTGTACAAATACCTGTTCAAGTCCCTGCTTTCAATTCTTTTGGGTTTATACCTAGAAGTGGAATTGCTGGATCATATGGTAATTTTATGTTTAATTTTCTGCAGAACTGCCATATTGTTTCCCAAAGCATTTTAGAGTACTTTGATGGTGCCATCCTTCAAAGTTCAGCTCAGACATCAAACCGGGTGGGATGGCTAAGTGGTGATCGAAGGATAGGAATGGCGACTCCATAATTTCAGTAACCTGACTAGAAAAGTGTGGGAAGGGGTTAGCTAGAGGCCTTATTTTGAAGTGATGTGGTAAAACAAACATGGCACTATTTATATAGATTACAGAGTACATATCAATTTTTTCAAAGCAACAGTTTTTGAGATTTTATTTATATTTAAGGTTCAGGTGACACTCCTGAACATTGCTAGTGAAGATAAAAACTTCCAAATGGGGCGCCTGGGTGGCTCAGTTGGTTAAGCGACTGCCTTCAGCTCAGGTCATGATCCTGGAGTCCCGGGATCGAGTCCCGCATCGGGCTCCCTGCTAAATAAATAAAATCTTAAAAAAAAAAAAAAAAAAAACTTCCAAATGGATCGTCCACAGGAGGAATGGCCAATTCAAAAATGAATGATTATAACAGGTTTATGTAAATGTGAAAATGGGGAGGGGGTACTTTCTGAAAACAACAATTTTTTTAAACAATAATATTGGGATTTTTGGTAAAAATGTAATGCATGTATTTCTACACATAATTTAGAGGGGGAAATCACGCAATAAGGAACAGTATAAAGAAAAACCACAACGGAAAATGGACACTCTACTGCCCACCGAAACCTATGCAAACATGTCCATATACACATACACATAAAAATAGGTGCTGGAGGCACACCCATCAGGAGCGTGGGGCAGGGTCCTCCTGGCTTGTGAGGCAAACTAAGCTCTAAAATCTCTTTCATCTCAGAAATTCTCAAACCACTGTGATCAGCACACTCATAATCTGTATTGTCCTCTCAAGGAAAAAAAAATCACTGGAGTTTTTTGGTGTCCAAAGACGTATTCTTCCTTTTCCCAGAGCCCAACATGTCTAAACACTTCACTCTGTCAGTGAATGGTGAAGTTTTCTTTACTTTTTTAAAATTTACTTACCAAAAACAAGTTGAGCCCAGTTGAAGAGTATTCTGTGTCACCATCATCATCATCATCATACCTTGCATTTACTTCCTAAAGTAAATATAGCAAGTATTATATACAAGATATTGGCTAATCCTCACCAGAAACTCCATCAAACTGATATAAAATTCCCATTTGACAGATGATGAAACTAGTTCAGAGAGAATAAGAAACTTGCCCAAGGTCATCATCCAGTAAGAGATGGAGTCAGGGTTCAAACTTGAGCCTGTCTGGCTCCAAAGCCCACGGTGTTTTCACTATTCCCACGGCCCAAAAGTTCGTGAACTGCTCTCTCTGCCTTCACCTGGAATTTCCAAATATTCTATTTGCAATTTGCAATTAGCAATAGGAATAGTAAGCTCAGAACCATATACTGATAATTTGGGGCTGTAATTTTTTTTATTCCTTTCAAAAATCTTTCCCTTTTTTCTGTCCCTTTTCCCCCTCTTCCCTTATTCTGAGTTTCAGAGATAATCTGCCGTGGTAACTACCCCCCACACATATAAACACACACACTCTCACATACTTTTACCCTCTTATAACTTCCCTTGATTTCAGAATTCTGCCTGCCATATTTCTCCCTCCATATATAAATTGCAGTGAACAGAGAACTTGTGCTACCTCAGGTGGTGGGAGATTTATTTTACAGATACGCCAAGAAGTAAGGAAGCACCGCCCCACACTGCAGGGCCTCACAAAGAACAAACAAAATGGTTCCCACAGTAGCCCTGGTGGTCGGGCCATCTTACTGTACTCTCCAAAGCGGGCAAAGGCTGTTCTCTAGTAATGAGTCAGCTTCTCTTTGCCCTTCCTCTTTCTTAATTTCCTTCTCTTTGTACTGCCAGCTCCTCTTTACTGCTGCCTTTGCTTCTATTTCTTCTGACAGCCTTTTCTCAGATTCATAGCTTATGGGCAGGACAGAGGCATCCTGAGGGTACTTTCTGAAGATAATAAATCTGATTGGATCCTTGTATCCAAGGAGCTCCAAATGGAGCATCTCTATTGGGCAGAGGACCCATGGACCATCTGATAGTCTACTGGCCTATTTTACGTCTTGCCTTTGATAGGGCCCAGGTCCCTGAGGAAAGGGACCATTTGCCTTTGATAGGGCCCAGGTCCGGGGAGGAAAGTCACATAACTCAAGGCTCCCCACCGGTGGAAGGAAGGAACTGGGACTGCTTTTCCTTAAAGCTACTGCAGGCTAGGTCATAGTCTAGTATGAAGCGCGTGTTAATTGAGTAAAGCTCCACTAGTTTAATTATAAATATCAGTAAGAGAAAACAGTGGCACAGTTTATTTTTTCTAAATTATATTTCTGAAAAATAAAAGGTAACAAAATTCTCACATGGTTAGGAAATTCCAGTAATTTATCATTCACTTACTAAACTGAACTTGAGTGCTCACTTCGGCAGCACATATACCAAAACTTACTATACTTGACAAGTATAAGGAGGGGAGAAAATTTTAATTTGAACAAATAAATTGAATGGTCCTAAATATGTAATGGAAGCCCAAAGAAAGACTTTGCAGTCACAACTAATGAATTATTGAGCATTATATAAAAAACTAATGATGTAATATATGTTGGCTAATTGAATTTAAATTAAAAAAAAGACTTTGCAGAGATTTAGTAAATACTTCATTATCAAGGACTAGAGCAGCACTGTCCAATAGAATATAGAAATAATGCAAGCCACACAAGTAACTTTATCTAGTAACTATATTTAAAGAGACAAAAAGAAACAGGTTGAAGTAGTTTTAATAATATATTGAATCACTATATCAAAATATTAACATATATTCAATATACAAGCTATTAAGATATTTCATATTTTTTTCATACAATGTCTTAGAAATCTGGTATGTATTTTATACTTAGAGCACATTTCAACTCAGACTTGCCACATTTCAAACACTTGATAGCGACATATGGCTAGTGGCTGCCATATTGAACAAATAGGGCTAGAGCCTTAAGTTAATTAATGACCATCCTACAATTAGCCAACAAACTGGCACTCCTATTCACCCACAGAATTTTTCCCAGTAATGCCAAATATTGATATTTCTAATTTCCTCACCTTTCCTGACTTCAGCTCTTAACTCCCTTTCTCAAATGATCCTGTTCACTCTGTAAATAGCCCTGTTGTAGAAACATCTATCAGGA